GTCCTCTCTGACCACATGGTTCATTCCACATATCACTGTGATCTGTGCTTCTTAAAGTGTATTTTAATCCCTCCACCCGATTAACTCCCCTGTTGTCTCTTAAGTGTTTGGGACTTGTGGAGGTTCACTGGGAGGCGGGGAGGGGTTTTGCTGGTCCCGGGTAATTTCTCCTCGTCTCACCTGCTGATCTAGGTTGTAGTGTAAGGGGTTGGGTTTATGGGGAAGCTCAGCTGTTACTGAATCAGATGGTCAGGGAAAGGAGGGTCTCTTTGAAATAAGTGATTCGATTTCTTACCTGTGGGAAAACTGTTGTGTTATTATTAGTGAGGGCCAGATATTGTGTTAGGCTGTGCTTCATGTGGTCAGGGGCAGAGACTGTTAGATTGTGCATTGGGGAGTGAAGGACGGAGATTTTGTTAGACTGTGCTTCAGGTAGTCAGGGAAAGAGACTGTGTTAGAATGTGCTTCAGGTGGTCAGGGACAGAGAGGGTTTTAGACTGTGCTTCAGGGAATAGGGGAAAGAGCCTTGGTTATAATGTGCTTCAGATGGTCAGGGAGAGAGACTGTGTTAGACTGTGGTTCACACTTGTGCACAATGTCTTTTGTTTCTGTAGAATATGTAGATCTAAGTAAGTGGGTGAGACAGTCTATCATCACACACATACACATACATAAACTCATTGAAACACACATATATGCAGACATTGAGTCTGTACAGCGTTACTTTAACATTGGGAGAGAGTCTGCTGCTTCAGGTCAGTATACGCTGCCACCTGGTGATCAGGAGGACCTTTAGAGGGACTTACAGACTTGAACACACACACACTTTGCTAACAAACACGCACATGCCCACTCTTTCCAGAAGTTTCTAGCAGAGCCAGGCGGTGGATATACGAGAAGATGACAGACTGCTTGATGAGAGACAAGAGTGAGTCAGAGGGAGAGGGCGATACAGTGATGCCGAGGGAGAGAATGTGTAAATTGATTTGGAGGTCAAATGTGTATGAATCATTAATGCTGGTGGGGGGGCAGTTTTCACTTTGCTGGGGGGTGTTCCACTGGAGGCAGTCAGGAAGAAAGGCCAGCCATGGAGAGGTGTGTGTGTGTGTGTGTGTGTGTGTCTTTCTCCCTCTCTCTCAGCCTGTCTTATCGAAAGAGAAAGTGTGCGCTATACTTCGTGCCTGTTTCTGTGTTTCTCATGGGGGGGCGGTGGTGGGGGGGAACTTGAGAAACGTTGAGAAAGTTCCGGAGCCAAAACCAGCATATAAATAAAGAGCTTGGAAAAAAATTAAAGATGGAATCTCCAAAGGCCCCTCCCTCTGAGATAAAGTCCCCGATGTTCAAATGCTCCGATCCCCCCTGAGCTCCGTTCCTCGGGTCTCCACCCTCAAAGTCTTCTCCCGCCTGAGGCACGCCGGCGTTTGGTCTAGCATCGCGCAAAGCAGCTCCATTCCCACCTGTTTCTCCGATATTACTTTGCCGAACTTTCATCACTGCTGTCGGCAAAATGCAAATCCAATAGGACCTTGACACTCCAGGACTGGGGTTGGCCACCAGTGTTTTAATGCTTCAAAATAGAAGTTTTGTGGCAGAGCTCTGCCCACCTCTTTACCCTTATTTTGGAACTCTCCGGAAAAGCCATGCTCATCCCATTCTGCTATCCCTGACCGGTTTCTGTGTCCACCCCCCCACCCCACCTTCTCTTTTCCAGGACATCCCCATTCCGCTGGAATACTGGCACCAAGGAGCGAATGCTGATCAAGGTGACAGACCGCGACCCCAGCTTCCTGTCCCAGCAGGATGACGGCTTCATCCCATGCGAGGGGGGCGTGGGAGGCCCCTCTGGGGGGGGTGGCGGCACCCTGTCCTGCTCCCGCCGCTCCTCGGGGAACCCTGACCCTGACAGCCCCCCCGTACTCTACCCCGACCGGCGCCAGTCTCCCTTCCTGAAGAGGGCGGACCTGCTGGGGTCACCATTGTCACGTGGCGAGGGGGGGGGCGGCCCCTTCCGCCGACCCTCCGCTGACTCGCAGCCGCCCTCCCCCCGTTATGGCTATGAGCCACCTCTCTACGAAGAGCCGCCCCCGGAATGCCAGGCCCCACCCATCTACGAGGAGCCGCCCGCTGATATGCGCAGCGAAGCTCTCAAAGCCTCCCCAGCATCCCCAGCCCGCAAACCCCAACCATCCTCCTCCTTCTTCCACTCCCCCAAGCAGGCCCAGTCCCCCTACCAGCATCTGGTTCTGACCAGGCAGCGTGGCTCCGAGGCAGCGCCCACCCTGGAGTACAGCCCGGCAGGCAGGGAGTATGTCAAGCAACTGGTGTATGTGGAGCAGTCGAGCTGCAGCCCCCGCTTCCGCACGGTGGACCGGCCAGCCCGCTACCAGGCATCAGCAGGCTATGGTGCCCCTGGTGGCTCGCACACGCTACAGCACAGCCAGTCGCTGATCCGTGACCCGCGCTCACTTCCCGACCCCGAACCAGGTGAAGCGGCGAGAAGCGGCCACCAGAGGGCACTGTATGAGGACGCCGCATCCTGGGCATCCGTGCCGGGCCATGGCGGCTACTCGCCGGGCGGCCACCGCAAGCGCAAGACCCGCAAGCCCTCGCTCCCGCCAGAGGTGCTGGCGCACTGCGGGGAGGTCGTGGTGGGGGGGCCGGACTCACCCCGGGCGTTTGCAGCTGACGTGGCAGCGGCTCAGGCACGGTTAGCCTGGGAAGCGCAGCAGGTCCACCTGATGAAGCAGCGCAGCAGCTGGGATTCGGGGCAGCCTGGTGGCGGCGGCGGCGGCGGGGGCGGCGACGGGTACGAGAGCGATGGCGCTGTGCCACTGCCCCTGCCTGGGCCTGTGGTGCGGGCCTTCAGTGAGGACGAGGCACTGGCCCAGCACGACGGACACCCCTGGAAACGTGGCGCCTTTGAGAAGCTGGGCTTCCCCCAGGCGTTGCTCGAGAAGAGCCTGTCCATGCAGACGAGCCTGGCCTCCCCTGAGCCCTTCCTGCACCCCTCGCAGGTGAGGAGGGGAGCCACTCGCTCTGAGATCCGGAGGATGAGGTCCGGAGGAATGAAGCTGCGGGGCTCGGGGAAAATAGCCAGACACCTGTGAGACTGGCAGTTCTACATTTTATTTACTTATTTAGTAGACATATTTATCAAACGTTATACACATCTGAGAAAGCAAGGTCAGTCTCTGGAGTAATTTTGTGTAAAGGGCCTTGCTAAGGGACCCAATGGTGAAATCACTCTGCCGTCCCTGGGATTCACCTTCTAATAGCGGCCACTGCATCCTAACTCGATGAGTGAGAGCTGACAGGGATTTCGACCCCTAAGCCCTCTGCCTCCCACCAGGGGGACCTGAGCTTTCCGGTATCCACTTGCCTCTGGGAGGCGCCCTGCTGCCTGCCCCCTTGTGGCCAGCCTAGGTATAACTGGCAGTGATGTTCCGATGGAATTACGCAGTTTATTTCAGAGTGTTTTCTGACTCTGATAGTGTCATCAAATTTTTAGGATGGGGGGAGCTAATGGAATCAGGTTGGGATGGGGGCGGGCATCCAGATTGCCAGGTCTCAAGGGTTATGACAGTTATGACAGGAGTTTGGTCTTTGTGCTTGAGGCAGTTGAGGCAGTTGAGGCAGACACACTGTTACAGGCTCAGTATGGAGGTCCATATATATCTTGGCATGATGTTGCCTCTGCTGGCTGCTGTGTGCACATTAGGCACATTAGTGTTCAGGCCATGTGAGTAGTGCACATATCCCAGTATGCACCTGGCCCAGGATGTAGTATTACGGGACGCGAGTTGAACAGAGCATACCACACCGCAGACAACAAGATGTTGAGTGCCCCCCCCCCCCCGCCCCCCATGCTCACTCCACCACCCTCACTGTCACAGAATTAGCCTGGGGGGGAGGCTGTAATGGGAGGGGGGATGGGTGCAGAGGGTGAGTTGCTCTTAAAGAGGAGCATCACCTTAGTCACACCCTTCCTTTCTGGACCTCCAGGCCAGAAGGGGGGGGGGGGCAGCTGCAGAGGGGGCACCAGCTTGGATCAAGCTTCAGATCCCACAAGAGGCAAAGAAACTCTTTGACCTGCTCTTTCCACTTTTACTCTCCTTAACCTGTAATGTCAGCAGAATATAGCACAGTTATTTACAGCAAGCAGCCATTCCCTTTAAAGTTATATCTCCAAAGAAGTCAGACCACAGTCTGCTACAGTCAGACCACTAAAGTCATGATGTTCCACTGCAGACGCAATCAGATATCGGTATTGCCCTCATCGCTCCTCCTTCAACCACAGGGGCATTCTGGGTAGCTGGGCAGGACCAGTGTGGAGACCCAAAGCAGCTCCTCCTTCCACACAAACACAATGTTCAGCATAAGTCCTTTTTAAGTACATATTATTCATCATTACACCCCCCCCTCGTGTTTATTTCCCTCCTCTTCTCTTCTCCCTTTGATTTGTTGTCCTGTATTAATGCCTCTCTCCATTGTCCTCCCTGTTTGGCTCCCCCCTAAACCACCCCAGTCGGAGGATCTGGGTGCGTGTGCCCAGTTTGATGCCCTCAGGAACACCCGCAACATGATGGGCAGTGCCAGTTGTGGGGTTTTCCCCGAGTTCAGCCTGCGCAAGCCATCCTCCGAAACCGACATTGAGAACTGGGCATCCAAGCACTTCAATAAGCACACGCAGGTATGAAATCACACCCCCTACTGGTCAGATGAAAACACTTCAGGAACACATCAAGTTCAATAAAATTGAACTGTATTAAGTTATATTTGAAAATGTGGCTTGTGTTCTTCATTAGTGCCATAGCCATATTGTACGTATGTATATATATATATATATATATTATTTCTTTACAAATTCATTTACCTGGATGAATGACTGGTTGGACTCTCTCACCTTGCACCTCTTAGGATAAAAGTCTAGAGTCAACTACAGTTAAAATGAGATAAAACTTTATTTATCCTGAGGGAAATTGTTATGCCAAGGCGTCGCTCTCGCCACACTGAGATATACCAAGAATTAAGAACACAATGTAATACACGTACAATACAAATGGAAAATACAAAATGGTAAAATACAAATAGTAAAATGCAAGTATACAGAAAAAAGGATAAAATGATGAGCTGTATGAGAGATGTAATCGAAAGGAGCTGCGGGCCACTCCCAGCCTCATATCTCTCTGACAGCTCCCCTCTCGCCCCCCAGGGTCTGTTCCGGCGTAAGGTCTCCATCGCCAACATGCTGGCGTGGAGCTCCGAGCCCATTAAGAAGCCCATGATCGTCACCTCAGACCGCACCGTGAAGAAGGAGGCCGTGGAGATCTTCAAGCTCATCCAGATGTATATGGGTGACCGGCGCACCAAGCTGGAACCTCTGAGTGTGGCGCTGGAGATCGTGGTGCGCGGCTGGAGCTGCCAGGGCCTCCGCGACGAGCTCTACATCCAGCTGTGCCGGCAGACCACGGAGAACTTCCGCTACGACAGCCTGGAGCGCGGCTGGGAGCTGATGGCCATCTGCCTGGCCTTCTTCCCACCTACACCCAAATTCCACTCCTACCTGGAGGGATACATCTACCGGCACATGGACCCGCTTAATGACACCAAGGGTGAGACCAAGGGGGTGGGGCTGGGGGCGGGTCCTAATGCCAAAGAATTTGATTGGTCAAGGCAGGAAGACCGGTTAGGGGCTGCAGTCGCTGTGCTTCTTGACCACACCCCCTCATCCTGATTGGAGGGGGTGACAAGAATGGATGAATGTGGGGGAGGGATTGGAGTCTAGGGGATAGAGGGATGAAGCTGTGGTTTGGCTGACTTCTTGTTGACCGCCGCAGTTGACCTTCACTGTTCAGAAATATGCCTTATTTTGGAGCTCTGAAAAAAGTAGGTAGAGGACCATCGATGCCCAATGGGAGGCCAGGCTCAGTGTGTGTGTGTGTGTGTGTGCAAGCTGTGGCTTTCTGTGTGTCTGTGTGTGTGTTTTTGTGTGTCATTTCTGCTGTCTTCGGTACCCTCTCCTTTCCTCTTGTCCACCAGGATGTTGGTTACAGTCTCTTTGCGCTGTGTGGTGACCCGTCAGTGCCGTGTTTCTTTGTGTCACTGCCGTGCGTGTCGTGTGCCAGTTCCGTGTCCATGCATCTGCGTGCCAGTGCTGCGTGGAAAATGTGTGCTGAGCGCTGCCCCCGGTGGTGACGCTGCCGTGCTGTGTTCTGCAGTGATGCAGCACATTAGCCAGCTGCTGGTGGCCTGGGACCAGAGGAGGCACAGACTGCGGCGGAAGGGCAAGTGCACCGGGGAGCCGGCCGAGGGTAGGGTGCCCCCTGTCTGCAGAGGCACATAACATCCCTCTCGCTGCTCTGCGCCTGCCTGACGCCGTGCTGGGCTTCCTGTGTCCCGTGTGCCGCTCTCTGTCACAGTCCCGCTAAGAGGCTCTTTCCGTGTGTCGCCGTTTACCCATTAGTGCACCCTGCTGGCACTTGCGAATTCGACAGCGATTTCTCGCTGCGACCCCCCCCCCCCCTTTTCTGTACCACCACGCTTCTCCTGTATGCCGTTACTACCCGGCCTGTTTAGCTTTAGGTTTCCAACCTGTAACCCTGACCTGCGTGTGTGTGTGTGTGTTTGTGTGTGGTCCAGGTATACCTTACCTTGTGAGGACCAAATGTCCCCACAACGTGATGAATACCCGTTTTTTTTTACCTTATGGGTACCTGGAAACTGGTACCCGTCACTGCAATGAAAAAACTAAAACTGCATAAACTGTTGTATTTTGTTTGGTTAAGGTTAGGGATGGGTAGGGGTTAAGGGTGTCGTGATTGGGATTAGGGTTTTTCCCATAGAAATGAACGGACAGTCCCCATTTAGATAGGTACACCAACATGTGTGTGCGTGCGTGTGTGTGCATGTGATCTCGCTGAAGATGTTTTTGTACGGCCTGAATTTTTCACGTCTGTCCTGAGGGATACCTTAGCGACTTGCGACCAAAAAGGTTGTTGGCTCCAGTCCCTACCCCTCCGAAAGATCCATAACCTGGTTGATTGACTGCTTCAGCTGGTAATTGGATACTGAATGTCTATGTTAATATAGACCCTCCCCCCAGAGGTAGCCTAAAATTACCTTCACGATCACTGCAACTTTTTGATCGCAAGTTCGGAGCCAGGGAGCATGCTGCTTAGCAAGCCTTACTTGCCGTTAAGATGTGCTGCCTGAACACAACTGCATTTTTAAAGATTATTCGGTATAACCACCACTTTTCTGTGGGGGTAGCTGGTATATCACCACATTTCCTTTCATTTGGTTAGTGAACACCTTGGCCGTTAGTCACACATATCCAACAAACACTGCCTTTTATTGGGTATGTATCATGTTACACATTTGCATACTTATCTGGCACCGCGTTAATATAGTTTTATTTGTATGTATATATTTGCGAATTCCACATGCAATTTGTTGTGTCTGATTGGCGATTGCAGTATTTTATTGGTCCTCTTAATACTCCAGTGTTGGATATATGAAGGAGTTCTGGCCATAAACATGAATTATAACGATTTCAAGGCATGAAATTGTTATTTCACTGCTTTATCTGCCTCTTTGGTGCATCATTTGACAGCTCATTTCTGGTTGGTTATTTTGATAGCTCACCCCTGATTGGTTATTTTCACAGCTCACCTCTGATTGGTTAAAGCTGAGTTTTACTGCTCCCACGTAGCATGCATGTTTCTGTGTTTTACGTGTGTACGTAAAATTGTGGGATCACAGGTTTGCACGTCTGCGCGTGAGTATGTTTGCTCAACTTTTATTCGTCGCCATGCCATCCCCGCCAAGTGTGTGTGTGTTTTACTTAGCATGGCAGAGGATTTGGCTCGAACCACAGCTTCATTGTAGGTCAGACATGCTCAGATGTCCAGAAGCCAAAATATCTTTCCAGAGCCCCTGTCGGTGCTTTCAAATGTAACTCTGGTGCCCCCTTTTGGCCAGTTAGGGGTAATATTGGTTCCAGCAGCATTGAAATGAAGAACGAGTGTGAAGGCATGAGAATAAATGCGTACAGGAGGGTTTGAGGAGTTGAGGAGCCTTTCCAGGTTGCTGTCGCCTAGGATTCGATAAATACAGGCTCAATACTACAGCTATAGCCGGGTCTCATCCAGAAGCACTGCAAGACCGACCACTGATCAGGTTTGGTGATGTGCCAGCGACTTCCAACTGTTAATTAGCATGAATTAACACCCAGCCCCTCCTAACACGGTCGCTCTCTCTCTCTCTCTCTCTCTCTCTCTCACCCCATCCACTCCCGTTTGGTTCAAACTGATGAACTTGAATTACTCATGCTTTAAAAATATGTTTTTAGCACAGAGGCGTCTCGTGCACTGACGGGCAGGATATATCTACCTGGAGGTGATGTCTAAACAGAAGCACCTCCATTCTAGGATAAACTGGATTTTTTTTCCCCCCTGTGTTTTGTCAGTTTCCAGTTGCTCCATGTCTGGTGGCATCTGTGTGCAGCTTTCACTTTGTGACTGGATTAATTAATCAGGATGTGTCTTGCACAGCTGATGCACAGGGCCTTAATTTAGCTTTGACAGAATGGCACAGATGGGATGAAAGTGAAGGACAGACACCTATATGTTAGTGAGACATACAGGAGACAAGGCTTGTGCCCCTTTTGCCATTATGATGGAACGTGCCCCGAAATTCCCTTTTTCAATGCCTGTTAATCATGCAAAATTTACCGAGGGTGCCCTCCCCCCCCCAAGTCAGCAAAATTTACTGAAGGGGACCATCCACCCTTGTTGTGACGTCTACCCTAGGCCAACACACACCTGCCCCTTCAGAGACCTGTGCACTGCAGGAGAAAGATGCTGGGCTTGTGAAGGATGTGGGTTTCAATACCTCTTTGTGTGGGACACAGAAACGACATGGGGTCCAATCCTACATGGTCGGTAAAACAGCACTAATGGCAAGTGAAAGGGCCTGCCGTTTGACCCAGCACCCTCCTCCCCCCCACCCCTACCCATTCAACATTACATTTGGGATCACAGTTAGTACCTGAAAATTGGTAGATGGTTGGCAGCTGATGGACAGTCAGGTGTTTAACAAAGGTACGGCCCCTAAGTAAATGTGTTGCCTGTTTCAAGCTCTTGGTTCAACGTTCATGGCAATTCAAGCGTCTGGTAAGTAATTGTGATTTTTTTCTGATGCTAAATCCACGGACTCCTGGGGACAGGTGCAGCCAGTGACTTACGCTGGGCGATCCTCTCTCCTGGGTTTCTTGCTTTCCTGGCTCATCACGATTGACGTGGCTTCCATTCGGGCTGAGTGAGACTCCAGCCATGGGCCTTGAGTCCTTCCCAACTCTGCCGTGTCTCTCTTACAGGCGTGGCCATCAGCAGTTACGCTAAGTACTGCCATCGCAAGCTGCAGAAGGCTGCTTTGACGGGTGCCAAGAAGGTATGTGCTCGGCCTGCCATTGGCCGCCGTGTGCTGTTACTAACCAATCGCGAGGAGGCAGGTGGATGTACATTATAAACCCTTGAGAGCAGGATTTCCATTTAAACAGCCCATTTAAAATTTAAAATGCCCATTGGTGTAAGTGCTGTGCACTAATACTTGTGGGCCGTGTTTTTTTACTTTAGGCTGTAAATGTATAAGGGAAGATCACAACTAAAATAACCCACATATCATCGCTGTCCAATTAAAACACATCCTCAAAATTCCATTGTTTCAGAAGTGTGAAAAAACATTTTCTCAGCAACTGCCTTGCAAAAAATAAGGTCATGTGTCGCATAATGATGGGGATACATCCCAAGAAATGTGTCGTTAAGTGATTTTTCCATTGTGAGAACATCATAGAGTGTACTTACACAAACATAGATGAAATAGCCCTACTACACACCTGGGCTGTATGATATAGCCTAAATAACGATAAAAAGTAAGAATAATAAATACATAAACCCGTAATATTGTTTATCATTATCATGTATTATGTACTGTACATAATTGTATGTGCTATACATTTATACAACTGGCAGGGCAGTAGATTTGTTTTCACCAGCGTCAACACAAACACATGAATGTTGTGCCACAACATCACTGGGCAATGGGCAATTTTAATCTTATAGGACCACTGTCATGTATGCGGTCCATTGTTGAACAAAGACTAGTTAAATAGTTGACTTCATAAAACATCTTGTCAATGGTCAATTAGATATCAAATGCAATTACTAGATGGAGGAGAATGGGTGTCCTCCATCTGTAGCAAAAATATGGGGAATCTGCTAGTTCTTTGCACTAATATAGGTCAGACTGAATGTAGCTGCCCATTTGAGCAGGAGTTTGGTCTGGTGGGTCTCCGCTAAGCATCAGGCATTCAAATCACCAGACATGCCAGAGTGACACCCAGCATCCAGGCCAGGGTACTGGTGATAGTAATGTTTGTGGACATGCGTATGCCGGTCTGTTCAATGACTGGGATGTATTGTGGATTGATTAATTAACAATCAGGCAGCAATAGCCAAATTATTTGATCAGACAGCACTAGCCAAATTGCTTGGGAGAGAGCTTGCATCATGGGGGATTATCCTCATCGCACCCTAATTAATAGCAGTCCATGTGCCTTTGATTAAGAATTCATCATTTTTCGGCATGACATGAGAGTGTATATTTGTGTGTGTGTTTTCTCCTGGTTTGTGTAGAAATGGATGTTTGCCGAGCCATAAGATTAGTGCTGTTCCCACCCATGTCCCTCACGGATCAGAACCATCCCGGTGTCACAGTAGGATTTTAATGACTTCCCCAGGCGGTTTTCCTTAATCACATTGTTGTTCTTAATTAGCGCAGCCTTTGATGCATTATTAAACAGGGAATGAGTGACGTGCAGTGACCTCGGGATGAGTGAGAGCCATTAGACAGAACTGCGCGGGCTGATGTGTTAAACGGTGCCACATGAGGTTGTGGGGGGGGGGGGTTAGGGAAGCAAAAAAATAGGAAAATCAGGAAGACAGTCATACCCCCCCACTATGGAGAAGCCTGGTAAAACAATCTTATTTTGTAGTACAGTGGTACCTCATAACTCGAACTCAATCCGTTCAGAACTCCGGATTGAATCCTAAAAAGTTCGAGTTCTGATCGAATTTTCCCCATAAGAACTAATGGAAAACCAATTAATTGGTTCCCGCCCCCAAAAAATTACACCCAAATGTGTTTTTTTTAGCACTTAAACATAAAATTATCCAGATAAAACAAGAAGAGCATATACTGAACTAAACACATCTAAGCACATTTAGTAACACTTTACTTGAAGCAGTCTACATAAGGGTGACATGTAATCGTCATTAAAATGACATGACACATGTCATTCACGTTAATGACATATTATTGATGTTTATGACTGTTGTCATAAACATCACTGTTTTCATAATGTGTCATTCGGTTTTTGGAACTGAATGACACATGACAACAGTCATAGTATTTATCCACCACCCCCCCCAATGGAAAAGCCTACTTTCTTCAGTAATACAGTACGGAAGAGGATTAGGGCCACCATGAAAACATTATTTGAATTCTGACTTTAATGGGCATTGAACTTTTTTTCTAAACTCAGAATTCTGAGATTAAAGTCAGAATTCTGAGAAAAAAGTCAGAATTCTGAGATTAAAGTCAGAATTCTGAGATTAAAGTCAGAATTCTGAGATTAAAGTCAGAATTCAAATAATATTTTCATGGTGGCCCTAATCCTCTTCCGTAAATACAGCCTTATATTGTAGTATTTGTTTTATACTTTTGTCCCCTCCCCCCAAAACCTGTTCCCCTCTCCGTCTTGCATCTGTGGTGGGGGGGCGGGGCTTGGTCAAGGGAGTCCTCCGGCTCACCCTCCCCCGTCACAGAAAGTGAGTGACACAGTCGGGATACGGCGCCGGACCTGGGCACCGTGTTAACATGCGGCCACCTGGTCTCGCCCCTCCCCAGGGCCTGCAGAAGCCAAGCCTCGAGGAGATCGCCCACGCCTGCACCGCCATCTTCAGCCCCTCCATGTTCGGCAGCACGCTGGAGGAGGTCATGGCTCTGCAGAGGGACCTCTACCCCGACCGGCAGCTTCCTTGGGTGCAGACGCGCCTCTCCGAGGAGGTGTTGGGCCTCAATGGAGATCAGACCGAGGGCATCTTCAGGTGAGGGGCAGGGAGGGATTCAGGGCTTATGGCGGGAAGGGGGTTAGGTTTACTCCATGGCTGTAGATCAGGGGAGTATACAGCTGAAAGTTGACTAGCTCACTATTACATCACTAATTAACTCAAGACATATCATTGGCTAATGTTAAGATTGGCCCCTGTCTATGACCTGGAATCACTGTAGGTTTCATTGTTTTTAAGTGCTGCTTTCTGTGCCCTGTTTTGCAGGGTTCCCGGTGACATCGACGAGGTGAATGCCCTGAAGCTCCAGGTGGACCAATGGAAGGTGCCCACAGGCCTGGAGGACCCACATATCCCAGGTGCCCCCACTCTGTCATCCTGAGCTCTGTGTCTAGGCCTTAACATTAGCATTTTACCAACAATCCTATGGGGTTCATGTCGGAGAGAGCCAGCAGCAAGCACGTGTGAGAAACACCTGTGATGTGAGCTCACACACTTCTAGAGACATTCTTTTCAAGCTTGGTTTTTAACACATAATATCCATCCATTTTCCAAACCGCTTATCCTTCTGGGCTGCGGGGGGTCCGGAGCCTATCCCGGAAGCTATGGGCACGAGGCGGGGAACAAACCCAGGATGGGGGGCCAGCCCATCGCAGGGCACACTCACACACCATTCACATCTATGGACAACTTAGTAACTCCAATTAGCCTCAGCATGTCTTTGGACTGTGGGGGGAAACCGCCATAGGAAGCAAACTCCACACACATGGAACCCAGGCGGAGGCCCGAACCCTGATCCCAGAGTTGTAAGGCAACAGTGTTAACCACTGCACCACCATGCCACCCCAACACATAATATAATTTTTGTTTTTATTTTTAATATAAAATTATCATAGGACTACATACTGATATAGATGTATAAACCCTGTCAATAGCAGGGGTAGCTGGGACTGAAACACAGCACACACAGGCAGGTCTGACAGCGTCTGTGTCCCGCTCTGGTCATACTCCATGATCTAAGACGAGACGATGAGTGTGAATCAGGCCCCTCTGTAAATGGGACCAGGCAGTTGTGACCTCTCCAAGGTGTAGAGTAGAGCGTAGAACACTGTACTGTACAGTACACTGTACTGGATACTGTACAAATAGCACTACAATCAGTGTTCCCACCTTAGCTAGTATCTCCTGGGTAGTGCACCTTCTATACAGTGTACGATCTGCATGACATGGTTACCCAGCAGGAGTGGAACTTGTGAAGTATTCCCTGCAGTGCTTTGCCTCGTGGTTAGCGAGCATAGAAATGTGTGTGTGTGATAGAGTGCCGTCTTAGTTGCGTGCTGTTAGGATGCCTAGCGCAGGTTGTGTGAGCTCCCAGCAGACTTTGTTGAGTGATTTCTCGCCTGGGCGTGCACCCCCCCCCCCAGCCTCCCTGCTCAAGCTGTGGTACCGGGAGCTAGAGGAGCCGCTCATCCCTCATGAGTTCTATGAAGACTGCGTCTCAAACTATGACAGTCCTGAGGCCGCTGTCGGG